ATAATAATAAAAAAATTTTGTCATACAAAAATTCGGTTTTCTTTAATTTTTTTTCTATTATCACTACACTCTTTTCTGTATTCTGGGGCAGATATTAGACCAGGTGTTTTTTAGGGCAGATATTAGACCAGGTCCAAAACTCCAATAAATTATTAAATAAAAATGTGAGTAGTCTTAAAGCCTGCGAGGAACAGACTGCAATATAAAATCTTAAGCTCATTAGATTATTGCTTTAAGATTTGTTGCATTTCTTTGTAGCACGTCAACAAGACAGCAGGTTTTCAGTCTGGTTCGTATGTGCTCCTTGAGCATCAACAAACCCAACAGAGCGGTTTACCACTTCATGGCAAGATCCAAATTTAACAACGGGCCCAGGTTAAGATGGATAACCATCAATAACAATGATATATCCGGGTGCAACAAGTTCTTCGAACATGTCTAGTATAGTCGAAACTTTTCTGTTAAGAACAAGCTTCAGAACAAAGTTCCTACAGTTTGTTCCTTCTATACCTCCCACTAACCATTGTAAATTAGGTTAGATATTAACTCCCCATTACAGATAGCAGTTTCGTCAAACTGCACCCCAATACCTTCTCCACCCACTTTAACCATTTCTGTTTCTTGTTTAGAAATTACTTGCAAAATCAAATCTTTGATTTTAATGTAAGTGTTCTCCGAACAATCGCAGAAATCAATGACCCGGCTAGGGTATGTCATATACCCAGCAATACTTTCCCCCAAGAATTTTTACAAATTTTAAATTCGGGGAGGCCATTTAGACTCCTTCTTTAGGCTTGCCTTTAATCTGCATGTCTTAGAAAAGCGTGTAAGAATACCCGTCTATATACGTTGCAGCCACCATAATCCTCATTCTGTTATCACATCTCACACAATTTATTTCTTTTTTCATAATATTAATTTTTAAAAAAATTCTATTGTCTTGGTATTTTCCAGAAAAAATTCTTCACCATATTTAAAGCTCAAAATTTTCTTCTTAAGATTTTATAATAGGGGTAAAAAAATAATTCTTTTTTTTACCTTTACTCCATCTTTCCTTCCCCCCTCCGAATAACTACGTTCGCTTAAAAAAAAAATTGTAGGTAGTAGTTATTCGGAGGTGGGTGAAAATATGGAGTAGCGCAATAAAAGCAGCATCTTCATTCGAACTTATTAGGAATTTTCGAATTGTGCCCGAGGCGCTTATTTATATGGCAAACTCTAAAAGTTTGTTCATCTTTGATTGAATTCCATCCAAACAATGATGTTAAAATTTCGCTTTCATCTGCTTATATAATTAAGTCCAATTCTGTTTCTCTCATAAATGTAAGTTTTTAAAAATTAATATGATTTAACAGATCCTTTTACTCCCCCCGGCGAGGGACTGGGAAGACCTGGTCTAAAACTATTTAAAAGTTAATTTATTTACATTTTTTAGTGAAAATTGTTCGTTTATAGAAATGAAATTAAAATTAAAGTTTTTAAGTTTTTTCTTTCTATAAACTTTAATCTTAATTTTTTTTGGGGGATAAAAAATAAATATTTCGTAGATGTGCTTTTTGGTGCAACTCGTGTTCTTTAACCCGAAATTTTAAAATTGTTTTTTACCCCATTTTTCTTTTTTTTGATGGTACGCAGTTTGCACCTGAAGATCAAAAGAAGGGACAGATAATTTGAAAAGTAACGAATCAATAGTAGTAGCAACTATGAGAAAAATTTAAATTAAATAAACAGTCTAGTAGAATTAATTTTAAACTGTAATCGTTTTTTTAATACAGAACAATGAAGGCCATCGCTTTATCTAAAAATCAAGTTAAAAATAATGCAGCTTTAAAAAATTTAAAAGATAGATATACTTAAGATTAATGTGCCGAAAAAATACAAGACAATATTTTGGCCTTTTTATACAAATTTTCTTAAAAAACTTAATTTCTAATAGTTGTATTTATCCCGATTTATGTGCTTTCTTGGGATCGGGATGTTTGCTTTTCTAGTACAACTTGCCTAAATTTATTTTATACCTTTTACATGTTTATTTTTTGATTTTTTTAACCTACATTTTCCCTGAAAACAAAAATGTAGGCAAGTTACGCCAGAAGGTCCTAAAATCTTTGGGGTTATATTCACCCAAAAAAACATGTTTTTTAATGACCTTCCAAAATATATTTTTTACCTTTATTTTTATGAGTCTGCACAAAGAGGAAGTGTATGATGAAATATTGAATAGATTTAGAGACTTGATTATAGAAAAAGTCTCCTTAAATGTAACAAAGCTATTAAATTAAGTACAAATAATAAGATTATATGCAAAATAAGCCGTGTAAATCTAGATACAGTATTTATAAAAATACAATTTTTTCGTCTATAAAATTTCTGTTTTGAATTATATAAAGGTTTTAAATTTGTTTTTAAATAATGTACCATTAAATTTAATAAGTGTTATTAGTGGTATTTCAAAATAGAAATTATCTGTTTTTTTAAACAAGCATAATAATGCGAGAATTTTTATAAAATATTTGCAGACTTTCCCTTAGAGGAAATGATAATGTTGTGGAAACAGACGAAAGCAAGTTTGAAAAGAGAAAATATAACAGAGGCCAAAGAGCTGAGAGTGTGTAAGAATTGGGGCAGTAGATCGAGTTAGCAGAAAGATTTTTGTAACGCCCGTCAGATTGCGCAATAAGTTGAAACTGTAAAATATTATTTATAGATATATTAAAGTTGATACAATAATTTATTCGAATTGCTTGAAAAGTTATAGTGATTTAGGTAAATATTTTACAAAACATATAACTGTGAATCATTCTAAAGGGTTTGTTAATACTTCAAACAACGTAATGGTATATACAAACACCATTGAGGGGAACTGGACAGGTATGAAAGGAATTTACCTTACGGGTGTAGAACTTTGTCTTTAATTCGATTATATTTATTTAGATTTATGGTAATATGTAACGAAAATCAGAATAAACCCTTAAAGCTCATAGAAATTACTTTAGAATATGATTTTTAATAAAAAAATTGTTTAATTAATTTGTTTTTTGGTTTTGTTATTTAAAAATACAGGTAAAAATCTTATTTTTAAAGGTCATTAAAAACATGTTCTTTTGAGTAAATGCCACCAATCTTTGGTCTCAGTTAAAGCATGAAGAAAGAAAAGGGTTGGGTGTAATTACTTCTTATGTTCAAATTTTTAAAAAAGTTTGTGTTTAGGTACTTTTGATGTAAGTCACATAAAATACCCTAAATAGGAAAGATTTGGCTAAAAGTAATCGAATATTTATTTAAAACTAAAGTTTCCACACTTTTTTACAAGATAGCTAGCCAAATACACATGGCTGAGTTTAGCACCGTCCTACATGCTAAGTACTTATATACTGCCATAAACTTTTTATTAATAGGAACATTGGGGCTACTTATAAGGCAATTTAAAAAAAACTATTTTCTTTTTCTACATTTATAGTCTTAACATTTATAAATGTAACCAACAACGTACTCAGAAGCATTTGTAAGTTTACTAATATTATTACAGCATTAAGTACATTCTTTTATTTCTTTAAATAAATTTTGCTGTATGCAATATTTAAGTGAATCTTTTGCTGTTTTAAAAATAATGTCAAAAGTTTTTTTTGGAATATCTTTATTATCTCTCATTTATGGTTAAAAAATAAAACAAGTCTTCAAGAGCGCATTTCCGACCATTACATATGGCCAAAAATACGTCCTTGCCTCAATGACTGCCAGTATCTTACCAAAATCACCATTTGATTTGCTCAAACCCTCATTTCAATAAGATTGACGATTTATCTTTAAATGGGCTTTACTTCTAGAATGTTTCTAAACCTTTCCTTTGTCTTAAGTGATTGAGTTTTTAAACATTTTATATTCATTACAAACTTACCAGTTAACACACATGGTAATTAAAAAGCAAAACTGTTTGCAAACACCATAAAGACAATTCTGAAAAAAAATGTTTTTTTCTGCAATTTTTGTACTGTTATTTCCATAGAAAGCACTGATTTTTTCACAAACACACGTTTGTGACCATTTCCTGTATCTTTAAGACGAAATAAGTTTATCCATCAAGATGAACAGCTTGCTTTTTTTTCAAACGATCTTGTTGTATTTGCTACTATCTACTGTCGTATCGTCGCCTTTACGAATTTTTACGATAATATTGTGTTCTTACTGCTAACTAATAGAAAACTTCATAAAGGTTATTAATATTTTTGTTAAATAGATTATATAAATTTAAAACACATTGATTAGTAAAAATAGTCTAAATGGGGCAGGAAATACTCAGAAATTGTTTAAAGTATTCAGTTCTCTCCAGGCGACGTCAAAGTTTAAAATGAAGTTAGTAACGGGTCCGTTATACAATGCCATCCCGATGTGATTATGAGAAGTATGTATAACAGACCCGTTTTTTAAAAATACTTTTAAAATAAACAATAGAACAATTTTATGTTATGGATAATCATAACATTTAAGTTCTAAATTTATTGGTACATTCTAAATGGTCACATTTCTACAAACCAATGAATGTGCCTGATAATTGTAATGATTGGTGTAAACAAAGAATGTTTTGATTTAAACAAAACTTTAAATATAAATAGCGCCGCAAAAAATAATGAATGCAAAAAAAATTAATTTAATAAAAGTATTTTTAAATTTAAGAGCTTAATTGGGCGCAGGGCCGTATTTTCGGACATTTTCAATGGTGGATCTTTATAATAATAGGATAAAAAAATTATAATATTAATGATTTAATAGATAAATTACTATATCCAGCCAAACCTTTCCTATATGGTCAGATTCACACAGTTTTAATTCGTAATATCTAAAAGTAAACTCTTTCAAAAAAAAACTAATATTACTTTTAACAACACCACCGTGCCTTTTTCATCCATATTTTATCTGCGACCAGAGATTTTTAATATTGTTAGTATGAAACCTTTGTGCATTTCTAAATCCAATACTATGATTCACAATTTGATGGGAGCAAAAAGAATTTTTTGTTTCCGATGGATAACTAGGATGACTATCTGTAATTATCAAACTTCCCATTAAAACATGTTCTTGTATCAAAGTCGTAATCGTTTCAATTTTTTTGCTTGGAACAATCTTTATAATCATTCTGCCAGCTCCTCTCCGATTAAACCCACTAACCAGGCCAATCCTCGTTTATTATCATATAAATTGGACGGAAGCATATATAATTTGCCTTTATATATGACAGTTTCATCTATTTGAACACCACATTTCTCAACCAATTTAAGAGGCTTTCATAACGTTCAACTTTGGCTTCAATAAAATTATAAATTTTCGATTTCAACTTTTGACACGTAAATTTAGAAATTTCAAAGTCATTCATTGTACAATTAAAGCAATCTCGTGCTAAAAATCTAAATTTCTAAAATTTTCAATTAATTTCAAATTTTGGAGTTTTCAAATAGCATCCATCAAAAACAGCAGACTTACTTATACATCAATAGTAAGTTCATTTATATACAAACCCATCAGTATAGTCCGCGTCTTTTGTCATTTTTTGATATGTTTTGGCATTGCTACATGCAATAATTTTGCTAATTAAATTGTTTTCTATTAAATAATTACTAGAATCCTCACAGTTGTCAAAAATATTGCTCCTTACATTTTTTGGAACATTGTCACACGCTTTCATAGGGGTTTAAAAAATTTAAAAAAATCTTTAGGGCCGTATTTTCGAATATATTTTATGTCCGAAAATACGGCCTTGATGATGAGCCCTTGATTGAGTACTACCCTATAAATGACGATCTGCCACCCATTTCTGACACTTTAGATAAAATTATCAGAGCCGATAAAACACAAGATTGTGTGTTATGATTTAGGAAAAATAAATTAAAAACAAAATGTTGTACCAATTATGGGATTATTAGCATTTTTTCTTCCCTAGGATTAAAAAGTGCCGGAGATATTTTTTATTTTAAAAATTTGTTTCAACACAACCTTTATGAGTCTAGATTAATTTAAAACAAACTTGATTAAAGTGACGGCATTTAAATTAATATCATATTTGAGGCAAAACAATTTACTGATTAGTGGTCGTGTATGTATAACTTGTTTAATAATGTAAAAAGTGGTATTTTATAGTGAGGTAAAAAAAAATTGCTTGGTATTGTGGCAATGTCAATTGTGTAGATTTTAAAAAGAAAATTTAAATAAGAAGGAAGATTTTTTTCGAAGACTTTAACATTCCGATAACTTGTGTTGTTAAAGTACTATTTCGACGGTCCTATAATTAGTCTAAGAATTCAATTGAAAGTAATTTGGCAAAAATTTGAGGACTTTTAAAAAAATTATTGATAATTTTCTAGATTTGTTTGACACTAAGGATCAATGTACTGATAAGTTATGCGGATGTGATAAAATAATTCTGGTTGATGAAACTGCTTTCAATTTTAAAACCAAAAGCCACAGAGGAAGAACTTCAGTAAATAAAATCGACACTCTGTGTATAGTTGGGGTAACAACAACTATATCTAGAGCATTGTTGTGTTGTTTAAAATAAAAAGGCAAGTACAATCATACCTATAATTTGTGATAATACTGAAATTGTAGTATCATATACACCGATGAACATAAACTATTTAGTTCTTAAATAACCTGAAATTTTTAATAGCACGGTTGTCATAAACACCAATTTGTTAATTCTTAATTTGGTATTGTTGTATACTGCTTTTTCTACAAAATAAAAAATTTATTGTTTTTATTTTGAAATTTTCTAGGAAAAAAATTATTATAAATAAATTTTTTTAAAAGTAAAAGAAGAGTACTGAGGATGATTGGGGAAAACAAAGATAACTTTTGTAAAAACTTCAAAACGCATTTAAATAAAAGTTTTTATATTAGAAATATTACTGGGTGGTATCTGCCCACCGGGAAAGTTTCTCCGGTCTACCACGGGTATAAACACACAAGTAGTCAAATTTTTTAATAATGAGTTAAATTTATCTATAAAATGTAGTAAGAGGGTTTTGACATGTAAACGTCATAAATTTTTATATGAATTTTGATAATAGAGAAACAAAATTTTTCATAATATGGCATTTATTAATGATTAATTACCTTATTTTGGTTTTCAGTTGTATATATTATTTTTACATTCTAAACAAACAATTTTTAAAATATTTTTGATAGAAGTATTAGGGCTATTTTTTTAATTTAAATAAAATTTTTACAAATATTTTTTCCCCCTTGAAGGAAAAAGTGCCGGTGATCCGTAATTTAAATTACATTTTTCGAAGCCAGGTAAATCCTAATTGCCATTATACTACCGCCAAATATTACACAAATTTGCTAAGTATTTCTACATATTGAAAACCGAGTATATTAATTTGTTCTTTTTTATATAAACCGAAAAAAAATTTATTTATTAGGGAATACCTGATTTTTAAAAAACAACAAAACCGTAATGCCCATGTGATACTTTAAGGAATTAAAAGGTTCTTTTTTAATTAAAAAAACATTAAATTTCTAAAATTGTTGTAGTACTTAAATCAAAAAGATAGAAATACTCGGCACTACTTCATCTTCCCACTCACCCCTCTTACTTTTTCAAAAAAATATCCTATTTTTTAAAAAAATGATTGGCTAAAAAAACAATATTTAAACATTTTAGAACCTATTTCAGAAAAGACAACAAGTTAAGAAAAGATTGAGCAAAGAATTTTTTAGCCAAAATGCCTTTTTCTGAACAAAACTGGCGTGCTTGCCAGAAATTGTGCCTATGGCAAGAAATTATTCAATGATGCTACAAGAAGGCTCGTAAATTCCTGAATAAGGAGCATTTTTGTTACAATAAGTTTTATTTGTATAGATGTTTCGGTGATTAAAAGGCGTGTGGCGATTCGAACAATTTTTATTCATATCTTTTAATTAATTTTCTTATTTATATTTATGTTTAACCAATAAACATAATTGTTTTAAGAAATGAATCAATACATAAATTAAATCACTAATATGTGACGTTTTAAAAAAATAAATCTAAAAATTATAAAACTGTAAAAATATCTATTTTACAATTATAAAACAACTTTTTTAATAAATTGTGCTTCTTTTTACATAACTTATTAACACAATTAACATTTTATTTGTGCTAATCTTGATTTTCTCTTTACAAAATTGGCATCCATTAAGTTCACTGTCTAAGGCAATAGATAGGTTGTGTATTAATTCTCATTGTAAATGATAGTTTCGTCAAACTGCACCTCAATACCTTCTCTATCTATTTTAACTTATTTCTGGCTCTTGTTCAGAAATTACTTACTAGACCAGGCCTTTGATCTTGCAAGTAAGTATTTTCTAAACAATCGCAGAAATCAATGACCCGAGACAGAATATAATCATATACCCAGCAATACATCCCCTTAGAACTTTTACAAACTTTATATTTAAGAGCTTATTTTTGACCCCTTCTTTGGGCTTGCTTTGATTTGCATTCCTTAGAAGAGCATCTGTAAGCATACTCGTCTATATACGTGGTAGCCACTATAATCCCCACTCTTACACAACATTTTACACAAAAAAATTCTTTTTCAATTAAATTGTATCTCGAAAAAAAAATCTAGAGTCTTGGAATTCTTAAAAAATATAACATCGTTGAATTTAAAATTTTCTCTTTTAGATTTTCCGTAATAGGGGGTAAATTTTTTTTTTACCTTTACTTCATCTTTCCACCCCCTCCGAATAACTACGCTCACTTTTAAAAATTCTATACGTAGTTATTCGAAGAAGTGGGTGTAAAGATGAAGTAGCGCCCTCTAAGAGATACTTGATCTAATTTAATAGACCCAGTCTTACTATTCTTCAGCCATTGCCAAAACTCTCTTGATCGATTTCTCTTGAAGAACTCGATTCCTCTTAAAGCCCAGAGTTTCAATCTATCTTTCTGAATCAACTTCTTAGTCTTTTTTGCCCTTTCTTTGAAATACTCAAATCTTGTTGAGTTAATCTCATTATAGTTTTTCATAGCAGCCTTTGCTGCTAGACGCTTTTGTTTGAAGACCTTAACATGTCTCCACCTCATTGGAAGTCCTCTAAGGACTTTTCTTGTTCTGTATATCTTTAAAGATATAC